CTGAATTGAATGTAATTTGTCATTGCGTGATAAGCCTTCCTGGCATGTGCAGCGCATAGGCCTGAGTTGCCAGTTAGCCGTATATAAACTCATGTACGAGGAGAAGTCACATCTCTGACGCTGTTCCATCATATCTCAGGTATGTGTATGTTCTCACGCCCGCCTTATTAAGTCAGTTTAACAGTGGATTTTGTGAATATCAGTGTTCATGTTGTAACAGTGAAATTATCATTTACCCAGTGAAAGAATTAATGTGATATAAATATCATCTGTCGTTGCCAGACGAAAAATGGTTTGTGATTAAGTTATTTTTGTGACATCTCTGACGCTGTTCCATCATATCTCGGGCACAGTGTGTGTGTTAGCTGAATACAGTCACCGGGGGACTGGTAGCTACATACCAACTGGCTGTCTTGCAGGATGTCGTTAATTCGGCACGATTAAATTGCGCAAGTCCGCACCCTGGGAACTAGGCCCGAACTTCCTCGCAATTTGTCGGACTGCAACTGACCCTAACAGCGGTCTTCGTTTGTTGTGGAGACACCAATGTTGCACCCTGGTGCACTGCTTACAGTTACATGGGCCAAAGTATTATTGTTGTATATGATTGGGGATAATTAGCAGAAATATAGTTATCCCATGTTGAGTAATGAACCCATAAATATTGGTAGTGCCAGTAATAACGTATCAAGTGGGTTGTGAGTACATCATTCATATGTACTACCAACTGAGTGCCATGTTGTTCATTCCGAAATAACATGACGTTATAAATAATATGTTAATTTGGGATATTGTCAAGTGTGTCATATAACCATCTATTTTGACAATGCCCTGTAATATAATGATTGTTTAATGTTGAAACCAAGAATTTAAGATTTATTTTGCTACTTGTAAAAGTAAGACCTAAGGGTCCAGTCTTATCTGGGAAAGTAAAAAAAAACCCTCTTATTTGTCAAAGAAATAATATACCAGGGTAACAGTTGCTTAATGATGTAATAAGTAATTGAAAATCTATTTTATGAATTGTAAAGTAAGACCTAAGGGGTCCAGTCTTGTCTGAGTGCACTTATTTAACATCTCGTTCACTCCTTATGTTAATAAATATTGAATTAGTAAACTACGAGTATCACCGCTCTATTCCTTCTACCCATTGGTTCACAGAAAATAACTATTGTAACTCAAGTGCCTACAAGCTCGCTACCTTACAGTTCAATGAGATACTGTATGTTATATTCTAATAAAAGTCTGGGTGGTGGCAGGCTACCGTTGTAAGTATAATAAGTGTTATACAGTAATAAGAATGACATGATTTACCCAGACTAATCCATGGTATAGAATATAACTAAAGCATGATAATAAATTGAGAGAAATATAGGATATCAAATTTAGAAAATACAATAATATACAGTGGGGTATGCTATAACGAACGGATCCTACTACGAATATTCCTATAACGAACGGTTTTACCTATAAAATTGAGAATGCTATAACGAACGAAACTCCTACAACGAACATTATTTAATTTTTTTTTTTTTACTAATTTATTGTTTTTTTATTACAAGTATTAATGATATTCTTTATTTCAGGGGTTTAGATGCATATGTATGCACTTTTTTACAATTTTTACAATTTTATATTATATTTTTCAGTGTTAAGTGGTTGTATTTGTGGGCCTGGAACGGATTAATCCTATAACGAACAAATGCTATAACGAACAAGGTTCTAGAACCAATTAGATTCGTTATAGCATACCCCACTGTATATGACAGAAGGAATAAAGTACAGTGGTCCCTCGGTTAACGAATACAATTCGTTCCAGAAGGTCGTTCGTTGACCGAAAATTTCGTTAACCGAAACCATTGTTTCAATGGGATTTTGGGTAATTGGTTCCAGCTCACCGAAAATTACATAAAAAGTAAAAATAAATGCAGTAAAGTACACTTACTTTGAGGTGTGTATGTAGAAGGCTCCTGGTTAATGATGATGATGATTGATGATGGGAATTAGAAGTGGGGGTGGAGGAGAAGGGCTGTAATTCAAGATTATTTTCCTTAAATCACCCATGCACTGCACTATATATTGTCAATATGTAAAATAAATTTCAAAATGACCAATAATTGTACTGTAAAAACATAAAAATAGTTTATGTTCAAGAGAGCCACAAGCAAGATGTTACCTCCACTGACCAGAGATACAAACTGACGCCTTGCTGGGCGAGTCAAGTGGTTGATTGGCGCACCAAAAACTAGTTTCCTGTACTGCAATTATGTTGAATAAGTGTTAAAATGACTAAAAATATTAATATAAAACTTGGAAAATTATTGAATAGTACAACCTTCTTGATATTTACTCAAATGGGAACGAATTTAAGCCCTAGAACCGATTACTGTATTGGCGGACTAATATTCCAGCCAGTGAGCAAGCGAAAACATGTTGACATGATTTCGTAAGAATTTCATTAACCAAATTGAAGATTCTTATGAAAGGTAATTCGTTAACCGAAATTTCGTTAACCGAGGCGTTTGTTAAGTGAGGGATCACTGTATAGAAAAGAATATTGACTTAGAAACTACTGTACAGGTTGTACCTCTCTAGTCCGGCAACCTCGGGACCTGACCGGTGCCGGACCATGGAAATTCACCCTTTTCCTGGATAGATAGTGACTTGGAAGCACTAGCACCACTTTCCCTGCTTCATGGTGTCTTTGAAGACATATTGAAGGGTTAAATGTCGTACAGTAGCTTCTCAAATTTCGCTTGTTTTTAATTCGACGTTTTTTATTTGAACACACAAAAAAACAAAACAATTTAAAAATTTGATGGTGGAAACTCGAATTTCAACGTGTTTGAACGGCCCACCAACGTTCAGACGACGTGCACAATCATGTAAACAGCGTCATTTCTCTTATGTACAAATGATTCATTATTGTTTATTACTGAATGTCATTTTTATTCAATTAATGTTTGTGTGTGCAAAATGGGCAATACAATTCATTAATAATACGTAGAATATTAAAACACACAAGGAAATGAGACAGCATTGTTTTCGTTGATTACAAAACCAGTGACTGACTGGTTCTACATATAAAACTAAAGTAAATAAGACCCTGGTTGTAGCTGTAGTAAAATTAATATGGTTGTTTTAAGTAATGTTATTTAATGTTAATAAATGGAATAGAAGTAGCTAACGATAATGGTAAAGAAAAAAAGAGAGATCGCGTATGTAAATGCGCACATGTGAAAACATATCATTACTCTATATAAGAATATGAAAGCAACACTAATTTACCATTCATATACAGTGACCCCTCGTTTAACGAACGCCTCGGTTAACGAACTGCCTTCCATAAGGATCTTCAATTCAGCTAACGAACAAAAATTCGGTTAACGAATTTCTTACGAACCGACCTCAACATGTTTTCGCTTGCACTGACCGGGCAACCAGCTTTAGTATCAGTCCGCCAATACATTAATCGGTTCTAGGGCTTAAATTCCTTACTATTTTTCTAAATATCAAGAAGTTTATACTATTCAATAATTTTAAAAGTTTAATATTCAATTTTTTTGTCATTTTAACAATTATTGAACATAATTGAAGGTAAAGTGACTAGTTTAATGCGCGGCATCCAGCCTCTTAACACAGCAAACAGGCGTTAGTCTCTCTTTGTTTTCACTGGAGGTAACATCTTGCTTGACTCTCTTCAACTAAACGCTTTTTTTCTGTGTTTCCAAGCAAATTATTGGTCATTTTGAAATATATTTTACATATTGACAATATATAATGCAGTGCAGTGTTGATTTAAAGAAAAGAATCTTGAATTACACCAAGAGAGCTAAAATTTTATGGATGAAATGGCGCCATGGGGTGACTTCTCTTCCACCCCAATGCCTTCTCTTCTTCCTTCTCCTCCACCCCCATTCTAAATCCCATCATCATCATCCAGGAGCCTTCTACATACACACCTCAAAGTAAGTGAACTTTTCTACCATTTTTGTTGAATTTAGGAAATTTTCGGTGAGCTGGAACCAATTACCCAAAAACCCATTGAAACAATGGTTTCGGTTAACGAACTTTTCGGTTAATGAACGACCTTCTGGAACGGATTGAGTTCGTTAACCGAGGGGTCACTGTATATTTTAATTAATGTTTCTCAATTTTTTGTATTGAATTAATGTTTGTGTGTGCAAAATGAACAATACAATTCATTAATAATGTGGAATATTAACACGAGGAGACGAGACGGCTGCCGGCATTGTTTTCGTTAATGCTTACAAAACCAGTGACTGATTGGTTCTACATATAAAACTGAAGAAAATAAGACCCTGATTGTAGCTGTAGTAAAATTAATGTAAAAAAATTAATATGCTTGTTTGAAGTAATGTTATTTAATGTAAAAAATGGAACAATATAAATAGCTAACCATTAATGGTAGAGAAAAAAAGTGAGACTGCGCGTATGTAAGTGCGCACATGTGAAAACATATCGTCATTACTCTACATAAGAATATGAAAGCAACACTTATTTACTGCTCATACATATTGAAGGGTTAAATGTTGTACTCTGTAAAGACAAGCAGAGAGAGAGAGAGAGAGAGAGAGAGAAGCCGAACTGCCGGATGTAAACAAACCTTAATTTACCATGGCTTTGTTGTTGTTTTTTTTTATGGGGATTAGCGCACTCAGGCATAGGTCACTGACCCATATTGGGGCCTGAGGGGCAAAAATTTAATACTCCTGAAATAATAATAATGCAGATAAGTAGAGGCTGCCTATCTACCCATTGGACAAACTAAAATCGTTCCGAACCACGGGAATTTCCGGACCACAGAATGCCGGACTAAAGATGTGCAACTTGTATAAGCAAAGAAATATAAGATAAATACTTATAGACAGAAACACTAAGAAAATAAGATTAATAGAAAATACAGATATGAAACACGTATACAGTATAAGTATTGAAGAATAAAGAGAATAAAATAAGAAATAAAAAAGTCCCCTTACACTGTTGTTTGAGGTAATGTCAGTGTTTTGTGGCTTTAGGGCTCCTAGTCACTGAACTCTTCCACTTTCTAAATTAGATCCCTTCAAAATATTGGCCTGAAAAAAAAAAGTTGCATTACCAATCACGGCAAAATGGCTATTTTGCTGGTCCATTGTTTATGTAATAGAAGTGGTGATAAAAGATTAGTTTCAGTATTATATTATGCAAACAAAAACACGATGAATGATATTTGTGCATTTTTCTTAGATTTATACATTATCCTAAAAGTGGGTTAACGAAGAATAATATCTGTATAGATGGCATGTAATTGTATAGCCGACTCACCACCCAGTAGAACTCAGAGCAGGTGATAATAAACTGTGGGACAATTTATAGTAAAGGGCATAATATGATATAGGGTTTTCTTTGTGTTTAACGATACATGTACATAATTTCAGACAAAAAACAAGATGATTTTCTTCTATGACACTTTTCTCGCATTTTACCCATAACCGAGATACAGCGAGTTGAAAATCAGAAAACTAATAAAAAGAGTCATAAAAATGGTAAAGTACGATAACTTTTTCTCCAATTTTAAGTATTTTTTTTTCATTTTTCTTCGTGTTCCTCCTCCCTTCAATCATAAATCACCTAAAAGGGCAGGATATGGAAGCAGAGGAAAATTACAGGGTAAAAAGATGTCTCTATGTGCTTTGTAAGCAAGAAAATATATTATTTACCATAAACATGGCAACATCAATTCTCCTGTGGTGACCATCGTGCTGGTCCTTACTGTACAATAGGTTCTAAATCCTCTTCTATGTACAATACACAGGATCAGCATCATATAGCTGTGATTAAATTCCATAATAGAAATATGGATACCTTATGTTTTAATTTGGAGTTGCAATGGATTCAAAGTTAACTGTGTATTCCTATTGTTACTGTTCTTCCATAAGGAAACGCATTGCTTCATGAATGCAATTATGGCGTCGTCTACTGGAAAATCCATGAGTTATCACAAGCTATCTGTGCTTGTTGTGGATGAAGACTGTGTTGAACACTGAATATATGATCATGAACGTCTTGGAAGAACATGCAAGTGTCTAAAATGTGCCAACGGTAGAGGCATTCAATCAACATTATTTGTTTCAGTCAAACACGCCTGCCAGTTCAGAAGTTGGATAGGTTAGGTAGGGTTGGTATAGTTACAGGGATAGAAATTCACCATGTTTTCATAGTCGCCAGCAGGACTAGTAGATTTGAAAATGTACTCGTCCTTATAAATTTTTACTAGCCCTTAAACAATTTGTCAAGAAACATTAAACATTGGCACTTACCGGGTTTATACAAAGTTCAATTTACTGTGTGGCGAAGCTATATATTTCAGGGGTATGGGGGGCTCAGTTTGTCCCCCCCCCCCGATATATTGGATAGTTATAGCAAAATAATGTGTATTTGGCGTAAAGAAATCATGTTTAAAAATGGATTATGCTTTATTTTGTTGCATTATATTGTCTTCAATATATTTTAAATAATAACAGATATGTTTGGCTTACAATTTTGCGTAAAACTGTAACCTATATGCCTTAATTTGGCTCTCGAAACGTGCGTTAAACAAATTGCCACCACATATTCTGTTTGGGGACCCCTCAATCGGGGGCCCGGGGACATTTTCAATAATGGCCCCCGCCTGTACCTCCCTCAGCTACGCCACTGACCCAAAGCAAATTTTCTCTTCAATCAATGAGAAAATATGAATATGAGATCAGTTCTATAAAAAGATTTCTTAGTAATGTTCAGGCATTTGTCTATGAAAGATCTAGGGTATTTAAGGTTTGAGCCAATTTTATAGATATATTTATATTCCTCATCAATGAATTCCGGGCTGCAAATTCTCAAAGCACATAAAAACATTGTTGAAAATACTGACTGTTTGACTATTATGGTGGGCAAAATAATAATGAATGTATGAACACACATTAGTAGGTTTTCTATAAATAATGAACTTAAAAGTGTTACCTATTCTGTGTATCAGAGTCTAGGAATGGCAATGTACAGTCTTGCTCTAATTCCACAGTGAATTTGATCGAGGGGGCTAAGTTGTTAACTTGTGGCAGGAAAGCTTTTAGGTCCTTATTACATGGCCAGAGACATAATACATCATCAACATATCTAAACCAGACTGCTGAAGGTGGTAAAATATTACTTAATAGTTTCTTTTCAAAGAATTCCATATATAGGTTGCTTAATACAGAACTGATCCCAAGCCCACCCATGACCATAAGAATATCCTAATACTGCCATTTCACAAAAATTTCTCTCAAATCCCTTTACAACTAAAAACCTGGAACGTCAATGTGGCATTTAAAAACTCATGCACTGTTAAACAAATGTTAATCAAGAACTCCCCCAACAACACAATTGGTTGCATTCATAAAGTTCCTTGCAAGGAATGTAATATGTTTTACTTAGGCCAGACAGGTAAAGATCTTGTAACTAGACTTAAACAACATAAATATAGTGTTAGGACAGGCCAGGAATCCAATGCTCTGTTGTTCATTTGAGGGATAACAGGCATTGCATTGACTGGGATAATGCCTCCTCAATATTACCTTGTAATTCAATTGATAGTAGGAACATCATAGAATCTAGTCTCATTAAACATGCCAAAGCATTCAACATGAATTTGAGTAATGGCATGTACAAACTGGACAATTTTGTAATAAAGATGATTTGTAACCAGGTGAGAAGGTTGGGTCACCTTACCCTCTGACTTGACTACCGACCGTCGCAGTGTTATTTAAAGATTAGTAGGGTCATTACCTAATACCTGACCATTGTGGACCTGATCTCACCCTCCTCTGTATATATATACCTTGTTTTATACTTCTCCTTAGTCTGTACTCACCCCTGAAGATGTAAATTACATGAAAGTGCTTGGGAACTTCGTGTTTTCTTCTTTCCTTGTGGTTATCAGGATATATATATATATATAAATATACAGGGTGTCCCATAAATTACCATACATAGGAAAAATAAATTTTATATGAAAATCCATTTTTATTTATATAATATGCTCTACATGACTACCATTCTGTTGAAAACACTCTTCAATGCGTGTCCTCCACTGCTGAAGAACACATTCAAGCACAGCTGGAGTTATGCTTGTAATGGCGTTGGTGATACGTTGTATGGAAACTTATGGTAGGATAGAATATTATTGTAATACAACAGTAGTGACGATGTGGAGGAGGCGGAGGCATAGAGCGGGAAGGAGTGGTGACTGGCGGGAGCAGGGATGAGTGGAGATGCCAGCCAGTACATTACGGGTGTATTAATTGTTTTTATAGCTCTTTTTGCATTTTAATATTAAATACTGTACATTACGTTTCAACAAAACTACTATTTATTTCTGAGAATATGGAAATGTAATATTTTTGCTGAAATGACGTACATATTACAGTGGAAAGTGGGATAAAATCATGACGAAAACAATGACTTTCGCTTTCTTTCGTTGTTCAAAAGATTTTACCGTAATTGCTTTTCGAATGGTTTTCAGCAAAAAAACTGTTGTACCGTACTGTATTACAATAATATTCTATCTTATCATTAGCCTCATAATCCCACAACTGAAAACCATTTGAAAAGCGATTACGGTAACATCTTTTGAACGAAAGAAAGTGAAAGCCATTGCTTTCGTCACAATTTTATCCCACTTTCCACTGTAATACGTACGTCATCTCAGCAAAAATATTACATTTCCATATTCTCAGAAATAAATAGTAGTTTTGTTGAAATGTAATGTTCAGTATTTAATATTAAAATGCAAAAAGAGCTATAAAAACAATTAATACACCCGTAATGTACTGGCTGGCATCTCCACTCATCCCTGCTCCCGCCAGTCACCACTCCTTCCCGCTCTATGCCTCCACCTCCTCCACATCGTCACTACTGTTGTATTACAATAATATTCTATCCTAATTCACTTGAATAAATACTACGATACCATATTTCTGAATATTTTCATTAAAATCCATCAAAATCATTTTCCTTGTCATCGTCTTAAGCACCAAACAGCTCCTCCCAGTCTACGCCTTGAACAGGGATAGAGGGTACGTGTTTTTCGAATTGTTTTCAGTTAAAAAAATGTTACATCACATGTATATTTTACCTAAATTGCGCCTGAATGAATATATTCTCAAATAAATAGTAGTTTTGCTGAAACGTGACGTATTTCAATGTAAAATAGGATAAAATACATGACGAAAACAAAAGACTTTACCTAACCTTCCGATGTTCAAGAGATGTTACTCGTTTTTTCAATAGTTTTCGGTTAAAATACTGTTATACAGTGAGCCCTCGGTTAACGATTTACCTTCCATAATATTCTTAACTTCGGTTAACGAGTAATCCCTCGATTAACGAGTTTTTTACGAGCAGACCTCAACATGTTTTCGCTTGCATTTGGCGGTCCACCAGCTGTAGTATTAGTCCGCCAATACAGTAATCGGTTTTAGGGCTTAAATTCCTTACTATTTTAGTAAATATCAAGAAGTTTATACAATTCAATAATTTTAAAAGTTTAATATTAACATTTTTTAGTCATTTTAACAATTATTTAACATAATTGAAGGTAAAGAAACTAGTTTCTGGCGTGCCATCCAGCCTGTTAACACACAAACAGGCACTAGTCTCTCTCTCTTTTCAGTGGAGGTAACATCTTGCTTGAGACTCTCTTCAACTAAACACTTTTTTTCTGTTTCCAAACAAATTATTGGTCATTTTGAAATTTATTTTACATATTGACAATATATAATGCAGTGCAGTGTTGATTTAAAGAAAATAATCTTGAATTACACCAAGTGAACTAAAATTTTATGGGTGAAATGGCGCCATGGGGCGACTTCTCTTCCACCCCAATGCCTTCTCATCTCCCTTCTCCTCCACCCCCATTCTAATTCCCATCATCATCATCATCATCATCCAGGAGCCTTCATCATACACACCTCAAAGTAAGTGTACTTTACTACCTTTTTTGTTGACTTTAGGCAATTTTCAGTGAGCTGGAACCAATTACCCAAAAACCCATTGAAACAATGGTTTCGGTTAACGA